GTTGGCTTTTTGTATGTACTTCAGTTTGATTTCCAATCATTAAAAAAGTTCTCGTTTGTCTAGAAAGTTTTCCTTAATTAAGTTCGCTATTTTGTATAGTAGCAAAATAATTTTTGCAGCGTTAGATAAAGTATTATTTTCTTTCATTTTGATGCTAAATTCGTCTACATGCATAATTATTCATAACTGATATTTAAATTCTGCGATTTTGTACGAATTTTCAACTTTGGAATTTTATATAAATTATTAATTTTTAAGATATTGATTAATTTTACTAATTTTTATATTATTTGTAATATACTGTACTTAAAAAGTTATATATTTCTGCCTTTTTTCGGAGTGAAAATCGAGATATTTTTCATCTCAATCCTAGGAGCTTTAATAATTTTTTAACTGACCAAAGACAATTAGTAACATAAAATTGATCGATTGCTTTTAGATATGTTGGGTACGTATATACATATATGTATATACTTTAATTGTGATAATAATTGGTTTGTCGAATATATATAGACTCTGAACTCGCCAGACAACCGATCTGCTTGGTTTCAGTGAGTATGGTTGTATTTCAAAATGTCAATGCTCCAAAATTTCACTTCCAAAACTGCCGAAATGTCGATGCCCAGAAATCAATACTACAGTTTCTCTACATAAGTGCATGCTTATATTTTATAGTGAAAATTTATAAATTTTCATTCGGTAAGATTTCTAATAATGCAATATATTATAATATATCAATACTCGCCGTTTATCTATTGCATTCATTACATTTTATTGACTTAATAACTAAAATTAGTTTTAAATATTTCGTACAGGACAACAAATGACAGACATATTTTCATGATTGATCCTTAGAGATAATTATCCTCTTAAGATTTGTAACGGTGTTCGAAAACATTAGTTTGATTCCATTATTATTTTATGATTTGATCATATGCATGCATTTCATTTTAACTTATTTTTAAGTTATAAACTATTATTTAAATAAATATTTTAAGTTTATGAAAATATATTTTAGAATTTATGGGAGGAATTAAGAAAAACTAACATTTAAATTATGACGAAAGTTGTATTAGATAATTTATTACTAATTTCGAAAATGTATTTTTAATCATATTATAAACGTTTTTAAAAGAAATATTAGAAAGAGGATTGTCATTTTAACACATTTATGTCAGGATTTTAGGATCAATACAGTCTTGTGGAAGTTTCTTTATATTTAATCTAATAATAAACATATCAAAACGTATTGTTAGACTCGTCTCATATTAATAATTCATGCATACTAATAAACATTAAGCTTTGAATGTTTACCAATCGAAATGGAATATGAAAAAAATGGTTAGAGTTTGTGATATATTTGTCATCTCAAATATATATTTCAGATATATTCAGAAATAATTTCTCACAGAATGACTGGTAATTGCGTCTTCGTGTCTGATTTAAGGAATATTTTCTGTAAATCAGTAATAAAAATTGAATGTATCAGAAGCGTGTACAAATCAATTTAATTCGCAACTTGTCTTGAAGAGTGGTTATTTTTTTCAGTCACTTTCTATTTTGTTATCTGGTTTGAAAAAAAAATTAATTTATTTGCTTTTGAAAATCGATATAATGAAACAGTAACAAAGCTGTCAAGTTTTGTTAGATAATTAAAAATTTAATCAAGCACGTAAGGAACAGTTATGTTTATTAAATGAATTTCAGAATGATTATGAAAGATATGACGCAGAGATTAATTGTTTCTTAATATGTCGTGACATTATATTATTAAGCTATTTTCTTCCAAAGATTTTTACTTAGAGAGTAACTTTTGTTATTATTTTATTTTTTGGATTAGACAATAGTTTTATAATTTAATGACATTAATTTATAAATGTACTCATTATATAACAAGTGAACAACTTATATAGCTTACTTCAACGTATACAACGGTATATAATAAGTATATTATATGCTATTACAAGTGAAACTAATTCTAAATCAAATCTACTAAGCATCATGAAGAAGGAAAGTACAACTAAATTATTGCAACAAACACTTAAGTTATCAAGTATCAAGTTTCAACGTTGTTTTTAAGATATTTTTATCGATCTTAATTTGCCATACCATACATATAACTGCTATTATTTGTGAAAAATATTAGACTTGTATATAATTTATTTAATTTCAAGTGAAAAAACTAAACTAATTTGATTTAGAGTCATTTGCTAAATAGAATTTGTTCCAATTGTAAAAGTGTTTAATATATTGTACTTATTACATACCGTAGTACATGTACAAGTTTGTCATCAAATTATAAAATCATTCTCTAATTCAAAAAATAAAATAGAGAGCAACTTTCGGTATTATTTTATAAGTAAAATCTTAGGAAGAATGTAGCCTAATACCTCGTAATTATAATGTCACGACATATCAAAGAACGTCTTTCAGAATCATTCTGAAATTAATTTAATAAACATAACTGTCTTTGTGTACTTGATTAATTTTTACTTATCTAACGAAACTTGACAGCTTTATTACTGTTTCATTATATTATTTCCAGGGCTATCCTAAATTTATATTCAGGATAGCCCTGGAAAGAATATACTATTTTCTATTTCCAAAATCATGCGATTTCATAAGCTTTTAATAGAATTACGATTTTATATTTTAGTTCAATTATGATGAAGAAATCTGTTAAGTTTGAAAGCTAAAAAAAATTTATTTAAGCATATGAATAGGAAAAGAGCGAAATTTAAAAATCATTGTCATCCAGATACATCCATCCTTATCTGTATTTATTCCATGATAAATATTCAAAATGATGACGAAGATGTTTTAAACAACAAAAATACTTCGATAAATGTCAGATTTGCGTGATTTCCAAAGATATTTGTAAATTACTTTTTACAATAATTACACGGCAATATTTTCTGATAGACGCGTTATGTAAAATTTTTAAAGCTACGAGTAATTTGGTAATATATTTTTAACATTGCAATGAGTTCGCTGTACGAAATCTACTTTTTACAGTAGAAACTTAACAGGTAAGACAATTTATGGAATGATATTTTCAGAGAAATTAAGAAAACTTTTCATTTAATATGTAAGGAAAGTTTTATTTCGAGTAAGATACGAATTACGAATCATTTAGAAAAGCAATTTTAGAAAAAAAAAGTTAATTTTTATAGTTAAGTTGCATATACGTAATTTCGGTTATAGTTAATTTTAAAAATATGTAATTAAATTATTAATTAAATGTTAGAATGAATTTCCAGATAGAGAAATAATAACAATAGTACTTGCTTTATTTAAACGATAAGTTTTCATAATCGAATAAATATTCGTTTATTCAAAATTATTTTAGAAAATTTTGTATAGTATTTTACTTTCGAATAAAAAAAAATAATTATTATTCATCTTTAGAAGGTTCAATTATATTTGATTAAAAATAATTGACAAGTAATGCTGTATAATTACTTTTGCTTTTGTAAATTTCTCTTTATTAAATAATTGTATTCTGTTAAGTAAACTTAATTTATAAATTTTTAAACGCAGATAAGTTTAAAAATTATTACGCGAATGTAACAAGAAAGATAAATTTGGCATTTATCCTTCTGGCTTGACATGTATTTTTTACTAGCTTTTTTTATTTTTTAAGCAGAAAGCCTTGAAAAATGTCCTTGAAAAGATCCTAAAAGCTTGCTTTAACGCAAAATGCTCAAAACTAATTTGTAAATATTTCATAATACCTTATTCATTTTAAGTCTTAAACAATTTTTCTTTTAATGTAAGAAATTGTCCAATACTCACATTAGTGAATTTTAATTTGAGAAAAGCTAATAAGATTAAATCGATCTTTCACGAATACTTCAACTAATATTTTGATTCGGTAATTAAACATAAAAGGATCACCAACGTAATTTTACTGAATTTATCTTTAATAATAAAGGTCAATAATGATGGACACGATGCGTTAGAAACTAAAAAGTCTTCATTTGGTTGGTATAAATGTCGGACGATCGAAAACGATTTGAGTATTCGACACGCCCTGGCGACAACGAGTCAGGGGCCATCGGACTTTGCCGATATGCACTAACCCAGTACTCGCCTTTAAACAACATAGGCAAATTATTGAATTTTTTAAAAAAGTATTCTATTATATAAAAATCGTAATCTTCCCGTTAAAATAATGTTTATGGATTTCATAAGTGCGTTTGGACATTAAAAAAATTACACACGTTTATTATAGTTCAAACGTGGTCTCATAATAGAAATTAATTTTTTATGTAAAATTCTTTATCTTGAAATAAACAAAAGTCTGTATCACATTTATAAATCAAACTTTATGTTTATTAAGGAAATCTTCCTTTATTTAGAAAGGTTTTCTTAATAAGTAACTTAACTAGCTTGATTTATGTCTAATTTTTATTATAAGTAACTTGAAAATTTTTATATATATATTTTTAAAATATGGAGGAACTTAATAATTTAAATACATTTTAAATTGAACGTTCATACTTTTTCATATTTATCATAGTGCTAAAGTGATCCGATGACGATCCATTCTGTGGAAACGTAATCCTTTAATCGCTTCTAAAAAGCAGTTTTTCGGATCATTAATATGAACTATGATTATTTATTATGTAAAGACTGACAATCCTTTGGTAATGAAACTATTAGTTACGCTTTAACGAATATCGACAATTATGTTACTGTATTTGAAAGTTTTAAGTTCACTAGGCTATCATCATTTACAGCGAAAATGTAGAATATTTACTATAAAAACATTATTAAGTCTTTAATAATGTTTTTATATTATTTATATATTTGTATATATTTATTATTTATAATATTCATTATATATNATTTACCGAATTTTCTATTAAATCAATATTCCAATAACTTTTTATAACAACAAAATCCGAAAATTAAGCGCATCAAACAACCAAAATGTCTTTGTGTAATTATATTTAGCGACTCTAACGAGAGTTTAAATTAGTCGTTTAGAGTGCACGTGACAAGTATCACGTGACTTATCGGGTAGTTCGAGTAGCGTTGGAGTGGGAACGTGACCTCGACAATGACCGTGTTCTTTTTGTAGTTCTTGAAAACTTGCCATGGATATAGAAGACAGCTATCGGACATTGGTTTGTATTTTATATTCTTAACTTAAATACCAATTAGTCTCCTTTATACATTACATTTTTGCCTGGAATACACTTTTAGGTCGTTATTCTGTGTATTTCTTTCAACTGCTAAAACTTATTCTTTAAGAAATTGCTATAGATTTTATATATGAAGATATGCAAATGTAATATTTCATCGATGAACTTTACATCTGCATATATCTCGTAAGAGTCAATAGATTCAATAATATACATAACATGGTTAATATATTGGATACAGGTTAGCCCCAAATACCGGAAATAAGGTGTGCGTGCCACTTGTATTTTTATTTGATCGCGTTGTTTCAAGTGTTCTAAATAGGTCAGTGAGTTTCTATTTCTCTATCTTATCGTTTTCATAAGATTAATTACACATTTAATGGGTATACCGAATGAAATATTAATTACATGAAGCAGAAATTCCACATCAGATTAGTAATTTGACTGATTGATTTGATATGAAAATATGGTTATTTTAATATCAAAATTCTTTTATAATTTAAACTTTTAAGTCATTAAACCCTTTATATACTTTTACTAATAATAATTTAATTTAAAAATCAATAATTATGTGTGATAATCGGGGCCGATGTTACAGAATTTTTATTCTCTCTAATCTAATACGTTGAACAAATTTATTCTTGATAAATTATTAATTAATAATTTATTAATATCAAAAATAAATTTATAATATTTTATATTTTCTGTGATGATTTAGCATAAATTTTTACAAATGATTTTTTAAATTTCTCATGAAGAATTCTGAATTAATTTCAATAATTGCATGTAAAAAACATGTAATTATGTTTTTGATTGAAGTAAATCTTAACGCTATACTTTATAAAAATTTGTATTTTTGATATTGTTCTGTTGTCATAATAATAATATTATTATTATTATGACAACGGAACAATATATATAGGCTATATATATGACTGTTTTGATTAGGGCTAGTCTTATGATGAAATTAAAAGTTGATTCGTTTCTTTTTATGAATTTTTGTAGGACTTTTGAAAATATAAATCTGATTTTTTTAATGGAATTTATAAAATCTATATTTAGAAAATTGGATTATTTCAAGAAGGATATTTTAAAAAATATTTTTCCAGAAAAATGATCTAAGACATTGTTTCTTAAACTTTGTATTCACGGATCAGTGTTTTTTATTCCAATCCCTAGCGGACCAGTATTTTTGTGAAATTAAATAAAAATAATTATAAAATGGAGAGAACCGAACTCAAATGCATCTTTTTAATTTTAATTTCAGACTGAATTAGTAAGAGGAATACAATAACAAAACTTCGTTCTATTTATTTAGGAAAGAAAAACAAAAGCGTTTATGGGCCGTTTTCAGATAATTTCTCGGGCCAATTTCGATCGCCATTCATCCCTGGCACTGTTTTAATAGTAACGAAAGCAAAATTTATAAAATAACACGTTTTTAAATAGTTTTATCAACGTAATACAATTTTATGGGAATCTTGTCGTGGTTCAGTAATTATCTGTCCGCCGACCACAGTTTGAATCGCCGATCTAAGATATCTTTCACTGTATAATGAAACAAATGTTGATCTTATCCACTTAATAATATTGTTAGGCATCATTGGAAATTATGTATCTTAATGCATAATTTCCAATATAATCGCAATTTATAATTAAAAGATAAATGGATATATATATAAATTTAATACAATTATAAATATCTCATAAAATAAACAATATGACCAAATACTGTATAATGCTGTGAATATGCAAATATTGTTTGTTGCATATACTCAATAGCCAAAAAATAATAGCAGAGGTCTACTTTATCCTGAAATATTAATAAATGAAAAATGAAATAATTTTTTACGAACTGGATTTTAAATAATTTTGTTTAAAATTAGAATAAAACGGATAGGTTAAAGAAAGATGATTATTTCAAAAAGCATAATGCTCCGTCACACTTAGAAGTTTTATTTATTTGGCATGCACTTATCAACTATGATTTTAATGCTTAAAATATGTAAAATAAGGTATTTTAACATAAATATTTAAAAATTTACCTGGCTCTAAATACATCTCACATTAAATAAGTTTAAATATTTGTATTGTCATCATCATCATCATACTTTTTGTTTACAGAAAAATATCTGTTCATTTTTTTACGTATTGTAAGAAATACAAAATACTATATATATTGTATATATGAAGAAGAAAGTTCTATTAACTTAGTTCTATTTACTATTAGAGTAAGGATTCAAGGGGAGTTGGTATTGACCCCCTGGGTCGAACGACTTGAAACAGGGGTCGATATACGTCGAGATCGAATAGGGATCGACTCATGAATTAAAATATACTAGATATAGTATAGAAATACTAATTTGTTAATTAATGGTAATGATTAAAATGAATATGTAATAGCGTGTGGTTTTTAATAAACTAAAATAGCATTAATAAATAAATATAATAATTTTATTGTTATATTTATTAATGCTATTTTAGTAGAGTTTATTTATTATTCATCTATTTAAAATTCTCATATTTTTGGGTAAGGATAAGAGTCGGCAAGGGAAAAGTTTAGAGGGTATAGGTCAGGGTTTCTCAATGGGGGTTCAAGTTTGGAAAGGGTCGATGATCAAATTATATGCATATTGTACATGCATATATAATTATTTTAATATTATTTAATTATTTAGTACTTATAATCATTTAATAAAAAATCTTGAAAATATTTTTCTATAAAATATAAATTCATTTTCAAAATATTACAAATTAAAAAATGTATATATTTAAAAAATATAAAGTATAGCCTATATTTATTTAAGGCGAGTCGATACACGAGAAAGGTTGGGAACCCCTGGTCTAGGTCGGGAGTGGGGGACACGGCCGGATTATCGCATAGACAAATGAGACAAATGTCTAGGGTCCGATCAAACTGTCTATTTTTAAAAGATTTGTAATAAGATAGTTTACTTTTCTGTTGGACAACTGTATATAATAAACAAATAAACAAAAATATATTGCATTTTATATTGTTGTGAATTCTAGAATCTAAAGAAAATGTGTTCTTATGTTTCTTCTTATTGAAACTAAAACTCCCAATAATATAGAATTATTTTTTTTAATAACGATAAGAATAATATTAACTACAGTATATGTATTCTTAACATCCTGTGAAATATTGTTAAATAATTTTTCTTTTATTTTTTATTAAGCAGCTGCAGTGTCCATATGCGATTTAATAGAAATAATATTAACAAGATTTATTAATTGAAAGACCCGGAATGGGGCCCGGTAAGAAGAAAATGTCTAGGGCCCCAAAGTGGGTTAATCCGGCCCTGATGGGGGAAGCCTTTTTAATCAGAATGCCACATCTTATTTCAGAGGATTTTCATAAGACTATATGTTGTATTGCAAGTAACATAAGTGTATACGTTCAGTATAAATGTTAAAAAAATATACGTTTTATTTAAATAGATGTTATTATTATAAAAAATAATTTAAAAAGCATATTTTCATAAATCACAATTCAAATCACAATCATTAAAACTTATACTAATTTATCTTTTCACGTTACACTAAAAGTCACAAAAGGCCACAGGTTTCCCATCTATCAAGATTGGTAGCCAGTGCATTAGAGTATCACCATGAAATACTATTAAGAAATATACAGTATTTTCTGTAATAATACAGTTCTGGTTATCTAATTTCTTAATTTTTAATAACTTTGTAGGCTATTAAATGTAATTTCGTAAGTAGATTTTAATTGTAACTTTATAAGAATTAACAGAAATTGTAGAAACTACTCTCCTCTCATATTCTTATGATTAAATTTCATTTGCTTTAAGTAATGGTAGAAATAAAATATTTGAGCAAATATTTTATCGATGATAATAAGATTATAAAATAATCCTAATTTTTAAATTAAATCGAAATTGCTCTTTTCATTAAACTCATTAACACAAAATTTAATTAAAGATTTAACAGACTTTAAATGTATTGATGAGCTAATAAAATAATAAAGACGTTGAGATATTTTCTTTAACAATAGAAGTTTCACTTGTAAAGATTTTATTTTATGGCTAGTCTTAGCAACTGCTAAATTGCTTGTTTTACTTTCTCTTTTCTCTCTTTTTTGTAGTGCCGACATTGTTGTTTGCAGCTATTTCTTAACAGTTCCAGTTCCTTTTGTCTGTTTATATGCGTTTCATGCCTGTAGGTACACAAGAAAATCGTTTGATAGTAAAACCTCGATCAGTTTATCTCATAAAATCGCCTCGGACGAAGATGGAATTCGATTAAAAATGCCGAAATTGAATGAAATAATTCAATTTATATAATAAAAATGCTAAAATATAAATTTATTAAACAATTTTTAATAATTTTCTATTATACATAGAAACAATTAAGTTGTTAAAGCCCAAGATAAATGCATTTATAATATTATATAATAAATTTTTACTTAAATAAATGCCTTTATTATTTTATTTTTTATCATAAATAATACGTTTTAAAATGATTTTTATGAATTGTTTGTTATTAAGATTAGGAACATCATAACAATTTTTCATAACACTGTGAGAGCGATTACGACGAAATCGTGGTAAATGATAGAACATTTTGAGGTGCAATACGTGTAATACTAGAATATTTAATTTTTGACACGGTGAAACTCGAGTACAAAAAAATAAAATAAAGAAAAAAGACTTTCTTTAACATTATATCTATTCAGAATTTTTTTTATTTTTAAAATTTATTTGAATTTCTAAGCTAGATAATAAAATTAAAATTGGTTAATGAAATAAAGACAATAGATGTTTTTGAGGTAGGTGAAGACGTTTGCCTGCTAGATGGAAGTAAAGTTGGTGTTTGAACAGTTTTAGCAACTTCTAGAACGTTTTAAATGGTTTTGGAATGATTTCTAGTGAAAAATAATTTACCAAAGTTCATGAGTATAGAAATAAATCTATTTAATACTTTCAATTAATCTCTTATTGATG